ATTAGGGCCCCCCTGGAGCGTTGAATCACGCTGTCAAGGGGTATTAGATTTGGTTTGGTCGAGCACTTAGTCAAAAAATACTTGAATTAAAATTAAAAACTGCTTTGGGCTTTCCGCGAAATTTTCCTATTTGTAGCGGTTTAAATTAAAAGAATTGAATTTAATCTACTCCTTTAAATGCTACTGCATGTGTTTTGTACATATATTTAATCACTGTATTTGATTGTTGCGTCTGTTTGCTGAAAGGAAAATTTGAATTCATTTGAATGGCGCGCTATTTGAAAAATTATGTATATGTTTATGATACTGTTTAATAATTTTGCTTTGCGAAGAAGGGCTGTCCCTTACGTTATTGTTTTGTTTAATTTGCAAGTTGACCTATGCGCATCGGTGATTAATTTGGTTGAATTGATTCTGTAGTTGAACATTGATGCTTTTGAAAAATTAGTTGAAATATGAGCATAGGACTACTTGTCTAACAGGCTAGCTAGTTTTGGAGATTATCAGATTGAAATCAGCTGCCGCACTATTTTAGTAAATGATAATATGGTGGGTGGCCTGGCTAGGCCTACTTGTTGAAAATTCATACTAGGGACTATCTGTGCGTTTCGTTCGGCTCTCCACAGACGACGTTCATGTGGAATTTGTGGGTGCTCTCTGCAATGAAGCAACTGCTGGCACAAAATTTGTCTGGGCAGCTTCGTGTAGCGTCACTGTTTGCAGAGCTGATCCGGTCGGATTGCGGAACTAATCATAGGGGCACAGATAGGTGTTTGAAAGAGGTCGTCGGACTTCTGTCCAGTACAGGACTTGTTAAAGTGCTGCGATGCCCAGGAGGGGCATCCAGTGGAGGGTGACCCTCCGGCTTGCCACATTATGGCTATCTTTTGAGGCGTTGGTTAGGGTTGCAAGATCTGATGGGGTGCCAAAGGTGGCCTAGTTTGGTTGTAGATTCAGTCTTGCAACTTGCCTTCGCGACCTTGTCCCGCTGACTGGTTGGCTCGCGGACCTAAATCCTTATGTCCGGGACGGGGGTTTGTTCGCGGCAAACGCTGTCAAGAATCGACGACAGATGTCACTCGGCTCGGCGCGATACCGGTTGAAGTTCGTCCAAGCGTGGCAATGGCGCGCGGGTCGCGAGAGAAAAAGGCAGAGTCGTCTGTCAGCTGTGCTTGGAACAGCACGCTGTCATTTTGTCGGGACCTCGGAATAATTCGGCGCGGCCAGTAAATATACGGTATACCAATGTGACGCGCATTCCTGCTGGAGAGCTTCCCAGGGACTCATTGTGTCTGACTCAGAATCTGCATAAGTGCATTCGGCAATATTAGCTAGTGCGGCCTCTGATATTCTAGAACTAACTGTTGCGACGCGAAACGGTAGTGACCTTTGATCCGTAAACTCCGTGTGCGTTTTGTGCGTTAACCTGTGTGTGTTTACAGCTCCCGCCGGTCCAATTACTCGAACTGGAATTATTTTTAGGTAGGCGTGATGCTTTGACACCGAATGAATTTGCTACCGTTTCTTGAGGTTCTTTTTGTGTGACCTCTGTCTTTTCCTTTTTATTATGGTGGAGAAGTCGATTATGTGTCGCGGTGCATCCTTTTATGCCACACTTAATGATTTTGCATTTGTGTGTTTGATTTCTGTAGCATAAACAGCGGAAACATAAGTTACTTTGTTTTGCAATTTCCCATTTTCAATTGACATCTACTTCTTTAAATTTGTTACAGTGGGATCCGTAATGACCCTCTTTTTCGCACACTGCATTTCGGAGACGGCTTAGTGGTAGCCGCGTGTGTTCTGTGTACTGAACGATTGATTTGTGCTCCGTTTATAACTTCAGGAGGCGCAAATGCACTGCAGAAGCGAGCTTGTTCAGTGATAAACTCGCTGAAGGAACCGAGGTCTGGTTTAGAGTCGTATTTTTCAGTGTAGATTCTATACCATTGTGCACGTATAGAGTTTGGCAATTTGTCGGTGAGGTGTCGTAGCAGCTCTGCGTTGACGAGGTAATGGTCTCGTTTGAGTGCTCGAAGAGTGACGACGCTTCCCCTCACTTTGCTCGCGAATGTGCAGATGTCTTTAGGTGCTTCTGTACAGCGTGGCAATCCTCATAATTTCTCGGTTTCGGCTTGTGCAATTGAATCTGGACGCCCAAATTGTAGCTCCAGTTCTCGCATAATCTCATCTGGCTTAGCATGCCCGATGAGTTCTGAGCTGACTGTTTCCAAGGCTCTTCCTTGTAGACTTCTTCGTAGTCTTGCAGTATTTTCGATATCATTGAAGTAGCCTCGGGTTGTTTCGTAAATGACACGGAACGAAAGCCATTCGGTATGTGCTCCGCTAAAGCTCGGCAGTGTCATTATAGCTTTCGACGCTGCGAAAGTATGCGACGATATTGATGCACTCTCTGGTTTTGGTTTATCAGCGAGTGCGGCTATAGCGGATGTGAGCTCCGATATAAATGGTCAGAGCCCTCTGTCTTCATTAATGACAGGTGCCTGGATAGGCTTCTTTGGCATGGGATTCTTCGATACATCTTCCGGATAGGGATCCTGGTAGGTGAGCTCTGATACAATTGGTAGGAGCTCCCTGTCTTCATCAACCTTAGAGTCCTGGCTAATTTTTAGTGACATAGGATTCTTGGGTACATCTTCCGGATCGTTATCCTGGTAGGTGAGCTCTGATACAATTGGAAGGGGCCCCCAGTCTTCATCAACCTCCGAATCCTGGTTTGTGAGCTTCTTTTGCGGCTCACTGAGGTCGACAACCTCCGGGGGTGGCTTTGTGGTGGTTTTGTTTAGTGAGGCCTCCCCTCCGGTGGTGGCGCCTTGAGTTGGCTTTTGCTTGACTACGGAATTTTCGAGCCAAGATCGGACGTACTCGCTTTTGGAGTGACCATCTTCATCATAGTCGTCCGATTCATCTTCTTCCTCAGCCATTTGTAAGGAAATCTGTGCGAGTTCCAATTTGATTCTCAACACTTCTTCACGAGCCTTCAAAACATTTTTATTGGGCCGAATAGTTTTCTTTGACTTTGTACTTCTATTGGGATGGCCCCTTGGTGGCTCTTCGGCGCGGGTATCTTCCCGGGCTGTTGGCGGTGATGCACAGCGAATGTCATCGTTGCCTTCTATTTGTTGCCTCTGCTTCGGTGTACCGGTGGTAGTGGCCGGCACGGGCAGGAGTACCCCCCCATCGCGGGGGCAAGATGGCGCCTCAGCGCCCTCTGTTGTCGATGGCGAGCGTGGTGGCATCTGGTGGCGGACGGCGTCGGTATTGTCCGACTGGCCTCCTTCCAGACCGACGGTCCACGCCATGGCTCCCCTTCCTTGCGAACGAGTGATCGGCATCTTGATTCTGAAAATTCTGCAACTTTAATACGGTAGTGACTATGTATCCGGTTCCGAAATACAAACGGATGGAGGATCCGGCTCGAAGGACCAGCGAATGTGCCGGACGGGCGTAACTCTCCGGAGTAAATGTTGTCGAAGATACTCCGCGAGTCGCTCACGTCCTACACCTATAGGTTCCAGAGGATACTTTCACTGCCGTCTCTGTGTGTGCTGCTGGAAAACTGTGGACTGAGGTTCAAAATTAAAATGCACGATTTATAAATTAAATAGCGAGGGAGTGGCCAGAGGTTCGACTGAATGATTAGTCGCGAAATTTTATAATTATTATTTATTGACCACGGTTGTTGAACACGGTTGTTCACTATTGGTTGGTCACTATATATTTCAAAAGATTCAATTAAAATGTGCGGTAGTATTAAAATATCTATTGGTAATATCAAATATCTATTGGTAGTATCAAAATATCTATTGGTAGTATCAAAATATCTACTGGTACTATCAAAATATCTATAGATAGTATTAAAATATCTATCGGTAGTATCAAAATATCTATTGGTAGTATCAAAATATCTATTGGTAGTATCAAAATATCTATTGGTAGTAGCTGGTTTTCTAACACTACTGACTAGCAGCTATTAATCAACTAAAACTAGTTGATTTTATCACTTGTGTAACTGCGTATATCAGTTACCACCTTTTCCGTTTAGCTAACACTTTTCACTATATGTAACGGCGAATTTTCCGTTACCACTTTTTTCGGCTAGCTAACACTTTTTTACTATATGTAACTGCGAATTTTCAGTTACCACTTTTTTCGACTAACTAACACTTTTTTACTATATGCAACTGCGAATTTTCAGTTGCCACTTTTTTCGGCTATGTGTAACTGCAATTTTCAGTTACGACCTTTTTCGGCTAGCTAAACTTTTTCTAATTCACAATAACTGTTCACTATGTTCTGCTACTAGTCACTTCAGCTACTACCGGATATTACTGCTTGTCACTGGTAGTTCTTCCTACTACAACGTTACTGGGATTTGCCCCCATAAGGTAGACTTCGGCTATACTGTATAGAGAGCCGCTTGCCATTTTTCATTTTGCCTCTTTATTTTTAAACATTTTCATTATGGAATTAGCACAAATCGCAATATTTTCTATACAAGGCTAATTTTTACACTAACACGCTATACATTATTAAATAGGCATTTTGGTCCTTTATCAGTATGTGATAAAGGTTATTCAATATATTTACATAAGTTATTAAACGAAATGTCCCAAATTTTCACAACAAATGGGTACATTAATTCTTTAATTTTTCTATAACTACCATATGTGTTTAATTATACAAAATATTTCTTTACTATCGTAATCTATATACCATATGCTAACTAAATGTCATATTTACAACTCTTTCAGAACACAAAAATATTCTCATTATTTTCAGTACAAACTATTGCGCAGTTAATTAAACTTCCAGAAAGTTCTACGATATGACGCGCTGTGATTGGTTGATTTTTTCTTAAATGCTTAAAGTTGTTTATATCAACTATTATTAAAACGACATTCTATACAAATATATTAAGAGTTGTAAACACACTGTAAAACCATATTAATACACGATTTCGTTGCTAATTTCACTTTTTATACAAAACAATATTCTTTCATCACTTTTTCCTTAAAGTCTTTAGGCCGTTGCGAACACATGTTAAACTTACAAAAATTTGCAGCAAAATTCAAAGCTTGTTCTACTTTGTGGCTTAAAACTCTTACACAGTTTTTAACCTAAAACAAAATAAACTCATTTAAAAAATTAACAATAAGTTGATAAACTTTGTAAAGTAGCATTTTATCTACCATTGTGAGTATTGTAAAGGATTTTTAGATACAATCAGTCACCAAGGGCAAATTTTTCAATCGTCACATGGAAGTTATTCATAAAATAAAATACAACTTGGATAAATTGAGAATTATAGTTGAATATTCATTCAATAGTTCAATTGTTTTATTTTACATCAGTTTGTAAACAACCTACTGATGTACTTGGCAGATAGGCATTCACATTATATTTCTTACCAAGAGTCTTGTACTTTTGTCTTTGCCCTCTGTGTTGATTAGTGTATTTATATTTGGTATACACACAATAGTTTACTATCATCCATAAGGGGCTAAAAATATTTTTTCGTATTACTCTTAGTCGCATCTTACAACACCAACAAATGACATTGAGTAATGTATTATCTTATATTACCACAACATGGCATAAAAAATGTCTGTCATAAGTAAATTTTTTTTAACCCACTATAGTACAGACAATCCAATTTATCTGGAAATAATATAATAATAAAAATTCGCCATGTAGTGGCGGCGTAAGTGAATCCACTGCCATAGGTACTCAATGTGACAATTGAAAAATTTCCCCACATCATCTCGTAGGTGTGGCAACAGTTGGAAACTGTACAGGCACTGGACAACAGGATCTTTCTGTTTAACAAGTTCTGTTTTTTTAGTTATTGTAGTGTTTGCATATATGTAGTATACAGTAAATATTGTTATTTGTTTTATTTCCTAATAATTTACCATGCACAAATACACAAACATACATTTATATATAAGTCACTGTCTCTAGCGCACCACGTCAGTTACACGAGAGCCTCAGGCGAGAGTGGACGTGTTTAGTTAAAGTGCATACCGAGCCTGTGTTACACTACAGTGATTATAGAAGATAGCAGACATTACAGTTATAATTATATTTATTTATATATTCCGTGAGATGAAAGTATTAAAGAAATATGCAACTGTTTCTCACCTTCATTTTTTTTACCTTCCCCAACATAACATGCTCATCATTTAGTTTAGGCAGCAGTTTTGTGTCTCCAATGGTATTGCAGTCCATTTTGTAGACATCAACTATGTCAGACCATTTTGAAATTTCTTCGCCAAATTTAATATTTTTTGTCAAAAAATTATTCCTTATGCCCTTTATGAGATGAGGAGGGTCAAAAAATTATATTTAACTTATGGCCACTAATCTCAATTGCTTCATCTGAAAATAAAATTTAGAGGTGTTATAAAGTTATAATCAATTTCAGTTTTTCAAAAACAGAAAAGGTTCCCTCTAATATCAATTTGGCATTGAGAAGATATCTGGGCTGCAAGAAATGTGAAGAAATGGTTTTTAACAGTCTTCAGGTTAGCTATACAACCAAGAATGACAACTGACTGTATAAAAGCTTTTACAACAATTTACTTCGCAAATATCCGCGTTATAAAATAAAATGATGTGTCTTACCTAGTATGAAGAAGCACCTCCCGCCCTCAGTCTAAGTCTTAGCGGTTAGCCACCGTAGAGTCTATATCACCTGAGGATGCCTCGTGTAGAGGCGAAACACGTGTCGTATTATCGTCAGTGGTGTGTCTTGCCTAGTGTAGTGGTGTTGGGAGTAGCGGTGCTGGGATTAGTGGTGACGGGGATAGTGCACGCAATTGAGGGAGGGCGGGAGGTGCTTCTTCATACTAGGTAAGACACATCATTTTATTTTATAACGCGGATATTTGCGAAGTAAATTGTTGTAAAAGCTTTTATATAATGGATTTCCGCAAAGTAACGCCTGATTCTATTAATTAAACTGACTGTATGTTTATGTTTTGTTTGCTAGATGTCCGATAAAGGCAAACTGGGCAGTTTTAGTAATTATAGAATGGTTCTTAATTTATAAAGAAATAAATGAAAACTATTATGGAAAAAAGAAAATATATGAAGAATCTGGCAGAGGGGATATTGTATTATAAATCTCCAGTCTAATCCAGTGAGAAAACCGAGTAATATATTTACTTTTATTCTATTTTTACTTTATTTCATTAAATTTAAATGAAAAAAGAAATCAATAAGGTATATGTACCTGTTCTATCTCCTGATAGTATTTGGTGTCTTCTTGTCTCTTCTTGAAAGCTTTTCAAGACTGCTTGGAATGCCGTTCCCTGGTCACAGCATAGAGCTACAGGAAGAAGACCTGTGCTTCCCACAGCTTCGACAATTTGTTGTATTATTTCTTTCATCTGCATAGCAGAAGGTGCAGAAATAGTACGCAATTGGCTGTTGCCATTTGTGAACTGCTCCACGCAATAAAAAAACCAATGCATGATCTGCAAATTCATTGGTCCTACCCTTTAGTTCAACAAATCCATGTATTTTGTCTCTATTCTTGTCATATGCGAGACCTGCCTCTAATGCAACCTCATCAAAAAGAATCGAGCAAAATTTCCTAAGCTCAGGCCAAGTTTCAACCTGAAAAAAATTTTGATTATTAGATTGAATATTATATTTCTATGATTGTAACATATAAGTTGGTGAAACTATAATTGCAATTCATGCACTTCCAAAATTTTGGTTATATTCAAAATAATTATTTAAGAATAACTTGCCTCTAGCTTGAAAGCCTCAAATATCTTAAGATTAATTCCAGAAGTAACATCTAGGCTAGCTACCACTTTGTTTAAAGTGGTTTTGGATGGCAATATAAACATTTTTTGCAAAAACCTGTAACATTTCGGACTTTGCTTTAAAATGTATAGAGCAATTAATATCTCTTCATCTGAAAATCGTCTCCCTTTTATATTTTTGTTTGCCTGTTTAATTTGCATCCAAAATAATTTTTGAGCCAATGGATTCATATTTTTAGTCATATTTAAAAAAGACTGGTCTTTAGAAAATTTAAGAGCCCTCTGGGTTCTTTTCCTGAAGTCTAGCTGTCGTCTTGACTTCCTGTATTCTTTGTACATCCTTCTACAATTTGGAGTAAGAGATGATATTTTCGGCAGTAACCGGCTTCTATGCTTCTTCTTTGGGGTAGATAACAATGGTTTGACTATGAAATCTGTAAAAATTAACAAATACTATGTACTGTAAGTATTAAATTAGTCAGAAATTAGAAATTATTCTGCAAGTGTAAGGGTAAGAAAAATATTTCATTTATATAATATATACACTAGATCTGTCTGTATAAAATGTTAATGAGTGTAACACACAAAATATTCAAAAAAAAGCTTTTACAAAAATTTACTTCGCAAATATCCGCGTTATAAAATAAAATGATGTGTCTTACCTAGTATGAAGAAGCACCTCCCGCCCTCCCTCAATTGCGTGCACTATCCCCGTCACCACTAATCCCAGCACCGCTACTTCCAACACCACTACACTAGGCAAGACACACCACTGACGATAATACGACACGTGTTTCGCATCTACACGAGGCATCCTCAGGTGATATAGAGGTACGACTTTCCATTGACGTCAGTGGAGTTTGGTGTTGATACGTATTTTTACAGAAAGATTACACTATTATAAGCACACACACAAAGTCTCAATATACGGAAACGCGTAATTTTTGAGAAAAGAATAATTGAAAATCAATTATTCTTGCAATGTTTATGTCTAATCTGCTAATAAACTGGCGCCATTTTGTAATGTCATTGTCGACGTCAATAGGGATGTCGATTCTTTCCGAAAAAGGTCGATTTTTAAATTGATTCAAATCGTAAGCTGATGTATCGATTCCTAAAAAATCGATTTCTAAAATATCGATATTTTTTTCATGTTTGCATTTATAATGTAAATATAAATCCATTTTATGAGAAAAAAATCCCCTTCATCATAAAAAAATAAGGGGACTGATTCATAAGGATTTCTGTATCTATTTTGAGACTGCTACGTCTCCGGCGCTGCGGGAAGAGCAACCTCTACGCCTTAGCGTAACAAATCGCAGGCATCGCTCCTCGCCTCAGCAGCTTCGGCTTGTTGGTCGCCTTCGGCGACCAGCCTCAGCCGCTCCGGCTCGTCCGATGCCTACGATTTGTTACAGCAGGCGGAGGCTGCTCCCCCTACGCGCCTCCGGCTTTATAAAACCACTCTAGGGGTAGGACAGACTCGTACCAGATGGAGTCGGGGTCAATCAATTCGGTTCTTTGACATAAGTTGAACCTAACCTATTTTATTTATCTGCCCTAATAGGTACTGTAAAATAAAACAAATTTCAATAATAGATCATTTATCATGGTATCTTTCTTGTTTTTCATAAAATGGGTTTATATTTACATTATAAATAGAAACATTAAAAAAATATAGACATTTTAGAAATCGATTTTTTGTGAACCGATACATCAGCTTACAATTTGAATCGATTTAAAAATCGACCTTTTTCGGAAAGAATCGACATCCCTATTGACGTCGACAATGACATTACAAAATGGCGCCAGTTTATTAGCAAATTAGACGTAAACATTGCAAGAATAATTGATTTTCAATTATTCTTTTCTCAAAAATTACGCGTTTCCGTATATTGAGACATTGTGTGTGTGCTTATAATAGTGTAATCTTTCTGTAAAAATACGTATCAACACCAAACTCCACTGACGTCAATGGAAAGCTAAGCCGATATAGACTCTACGGTGGCTAACCGCTAACTTAGTTAAGTGCACGCAATTGAGTGAGGGCGGGAGGTGCTTCTTCATACTAGGTAAGACACATCATTTTATTTTATAATGCGGATATTTGCGAAGTAAATTTTTGTAAAAGCTTTTATATAATGGATTTCCACAAAGTAACGCCTGATTCTATTAATTATACAAAATATTCAGTCAAATAAATAAATCTACTTTCATATGACTTTACCTTCTCTCAAAATTTGTTGAGTGCCAACCTCCATCATTTCAACAGTTTCAGAAGTAGATTGAATCATGGGCATCTGAACACTTATAAATAAAAATAATATATTAATGTAACACATTACATTAATGGGTAATGTAAGGTAATGCATTTACAAATTGCAATGATACATTTTGTTAGTTTATGACCTTTTTGGAAATGGTATTGTACTACTAGTACTGTAAATAACTCTTACCTTCTAATATGTTCAGGTGAATCTGAGAGTTGCTGTCCATTGATCGAGAATTGGTGTGATCCACATGTTTATTATTTTTGATATAATAAGAGTGGTCAATGGAAGGATCAACATATTCTGAAAAAATTAAAACATTTTAAAAATCAGGTTTAATATGACATTATTAATAAGATGTCATTGCTTGTCTGGTCTGTATTGCCTTTAAAAAAAAGGGGAAAATTCAAGAAGATAAAAAAGTCCACTATGGCTGATTGGTTTTAAAGGAACTATATCCAAAAATATTAATACCTGTCGATGACAATAGGACTTGTTCTTTTATTATTTAAAGGTAACATCTATTAAACAAAAAACAAGAAATGTTTTAACACTATCAAATGACAATAATGTTTTTGTAGTTATTAATATGGAGTTTTTTCTATTTAAATGAAACAATTAAACAAACTTGAGTTTTTTTTTTAAAGAATAAGGGTAACAAACAGTGTTGCCAACTACTAGCTTTACCTAGTTGCTAGACATTTTTCAAAATGTTGCTAGATTGACAGTTTTTTTTACCCCAAAAAGTTGCTAGAAGTAGCTAAATGTTCCGGCATGTAGGTAGATTACAATAAAATGTCAATTTCTGACAATCATTTTTATTTTCATAATTTCCAACAAGAGAGTTAAAATGTCTTGTGTACTGTCAAGAGCAATATTGTGTAAACAATATAGGACTATATTATATTATATTTATTGAATTCTTTTGTGGTACAGATAGTTTTGTTTCGGAACACTTAATGTGCCAAAGTTCTATGTTGTTTACATTTTATTGCTCATGACTGTACGTTATTGAATAAAAAGATAAGTTAATACTTATTAAATATATATTGAATATTGATTATAACTAATCAATCAAAGAAGATGTCGATGGTTGGGGTTCAGTGTCTATCGTCGTTAATTTCGAATATTTTTCAGCGGTGCCCATTTTATGCAGTACATTTTTATGCAAAACACAGTTATA